ATTTCGATGAACTGAAATAATCTGTTTTTGAACTTTACTGTACTAGTACTCACCTAAGCAGCCAGTTTGACATTAGGACTTGCTTGTCATTGTATTTTCATGTTTTTTTAAAGAAAAATTAACTTGTCCACATTGCTTGCCGAAAGGGCAGATCTGCTGGCACTAACAATGTCTCCTGATGTGGAGAACACCCTCTCGCTAGGGACAGAGGTAGCAGATACAGCCAGGTAGCGCTTTGCTAACATGGCAACATAAGGATATTTGGCGTTTGTAATAGCTTTGGCTCGGTCTGAACTTTTTGCGAGTGGTGGAGGCTTAAATGCTAGCGGGAGTTGGGTTTGCACTTCAGTCTTTTTTATTTTGTAACCGGTGATATTCAGGTTCGGGTGATGCCTTTTCAAATGAGTGTGCAAGTTTGATGTATTGCCAGCCGCGTAACCAATTTTAGTTGAACAATGCCGACCATCAGCGTTGGTTCGGGCCACCTGTCTTTATCCGTCATCCTTGTACGTAACTGCGAACCAGAATGTTCCCAAACCGGAGACTTCAATGATGCTGGAGGATTTTTTTCGAGCTCAACTTTATCTGCGTTCGCCATTTCGACAGTTCCTCAAATTACTGACTAAATTTGAACGCATCCCTCTGACCAGCTCTCATAGTATGCCTCTCGTCCAATGAAATGACTTGCTCTCTCTATGACACGTTGAACCCAATGTGAGCAAATTACTCTGAATGCTGCGACGCAGCACCTGAGATTACTTCCAAAAAGTTGTTCACGTTCTCAATTTTTTACGTTTAACGTTATATTCGTTCGGTACACTTCGGTACACATGTGTACCGAACCGAAGGGGCGGTCCGAATAATTTCGGTATGTGTACCGTTACACCCCTAGTGTGAAGGTTTTCAATTTGAACAGTTTAGATTTGACTAGACTCTAGATGCTCTAATGTGTTTGTTTCTGATCCCAAGGAGCTCCCAGGAACCGCCGAAACATGACTCCTCACCAAGTGAAGACACTGCATGTCCTGATGATCAAATCAGAAGTGAATGCCAGGTATGCGTACACACACTAAAGGGTACATTTACAAAAGGGTTGATAGACTTGCACATATGAGAGCCCATTTACACGCAAACGCATACGAAACACAAACGAACCGAATACGATATCAAAAAAGTCTTCCGTTCACACGAGACCGCGCTGGAGACAGTGGCGGACTGGCCATCGGGACGTTCGGGACGAATCCGGATGGGCCGGTACTGAAGTGGGCCGGTCGGCCGATGTGGGCCGCCCCATAAGTCACTAGCAAACGGGCTATACGAAAGAGAAAAGTAGCGGATACGACTGTTTGCGTTCTCGTGTAAACGGCACATGAGACAGAACTAAGTAATACACAAAGCACATCTGAAATTCACCCCAACTGCATTTTGACACCATTTGGAGACCTTTCTATGTAAAAGAACCTCATCGTAAAAACAGTCCGTTTCACATAGATCAGAGTTCATAGCCACACACAGTTCCAGTGAAATGATTAGTGTCTCAAGAGAGTTGGTGGTAACTGAACTACACTTAAAGGTTGTCATGGCCAGACTTTAAACTGATAATTGCAGCAGTGATTGTAGCCATGTGAAGAAGTCATGTTCCAATCAAACCCATGCAATTAGGGATTTAGTGACAGGATGCAAAGACAGACCTGAAGGATTACGTAAATATAAATACACTTAATGGGTGTGTTAACGATGTTATATCATTGGCATCATGTTTTCTGGTCCTTTGGGTGGGGCGGATAGCGGTTCACAATGACGCTCTGTTCATGGTGCTATCAGCAATCCATTCTTTGTGGAGTCTCCCCTGACACTAGTTTAGTTCAACAATGTGACATTTCATCCTCAGTTCCACCATCTTTGATGTTTTGTTTTCATTTCTTCACCAGCAGAGTAACAATGAGGAAAAACCAATGAAGAAGGAGAACAGCGCGGCTGTCCCCCAGGATAGAGATGCTACCCATAATGCACACAAGCCAGAAGAACAGCAGACACGTAAGCAGAAGCACCCCTCTAATGCTTTAAGAAATCCCATGATCATTAATGTATTAATCAGAAGATGTGCCATTCTCTGAGTGAGCAGCAGCTGCATGTAAAGATGTCAGCACATTGGAGGCGTGGTTCGATGCTGAAGAAGACCTGCAGCCTGCAGCAGCTGCTGAGACCGAGCCGGACCCTACGGTGATCACAACAGATCAGACCAGTGGTGAGAGATCAGGGATGGAAGTTAAAGCATTATAGCTGCACATTTCCATAAGGTTTTTAAATAGATTTGGGATCAAATCCTTAGTGGAGAATTTGTGTTACCCACAGAATCCGGCAGCAAGGAAGTGGAGAGCTCGGTACTCTATGTTTCAAACCTGCCCAGTAACGCCTCAGAGGTGAGGTTCTGCTGCTGACTGCACACACGTTACCATTTAAAGCCGTACTCATAAGAACACATGCTATTATAGTTGTTTAATATTTATTTGTTAGACATGTTTTATTAGCAAGTCAGACCTTGTAATGTTATGGCCTTGTATTACAGAGGTGTAGCCACCAGGGGGCGGTACAGGATTTAACAGACTCTTGTTTTCCCCAGTGTGATGTGATGCAGTGGTTTGAGAAATACCATCCCTCTGAAGTCAGCATCTCTGCTTTAAAGAACGATTTGAGGTGAGCGTCTGCTCTGCTCTGAAGAACGTATATATTGAGACACACACACACACACACTTTTCTTGTCATGCATCCATCCGATCTGTGTGGTTGCATGAAGAAGAACACAATGCTCTTCAGCTGTAATTGTGTTATGTTATGCCTGAAATCAGAATCAACCAATATTTATTTATATAGCCCAATATCACAAATGTTACATTTGTCTCAGTGGACTTCACAGTTTGTACAGAATATCAGTATGGCAATACGACACCCTCTGTCCTTAGACCCTCACATCGTACAAGGAATCAAGTTTATTGCCAAGTAAGTCAACACTAACAAGGAGTTCGCTGTGGTGTATGGTGATGTAAACTTAAACGACATTCAGGGTGTCCGCGGGGTCTTAAAAAGTATTAAAAGTTGATAAATCAATTTAGCGAAAATGAAGGCTATTAAAAAGTATTAAAGGGCATTTTCCAAGGTTTTACATTTTGTAGCTTGTTTTCAATAAGTATATGAATTGTTCAAAGAGGTTGTATTCTACAGTCTGCCTGAATATAATCATGGCGTAGGTGTGTAGTGTGATCCTGTGTAGTTTATTGATGGCATCCCGTTGGGACGTCATCTGAACAGGACATCTCACGCTCACTGCTTGATAGCGCGAAGCTCCGTTTACGCCGGTCGTTAAACATCGTTATGGGGAAATGCAAGTCTGCGTCCAAATGTTTGGAAGATAAGGAAGAAGGACAATCAATACTGTATATAGTCAATGTGAGGTAAAGTGTGTCGCCAAGGTAACCGGTTAGAACTCAAAGTGGCGATGAGGTCTTAAAATGTATGGAGAAGGGTCTTAAAAAAGGTCTTAAAAGGTTTTACATTTGACTTCAGGATTCCTGCATATACCCTGACTGACATAACAAAATAAGTTGTAAGAAAAGGTAAAAAAATAACGATTTAACATTCAAAAATAATAAAGACGAGTATTTACACCACATTTAAATATACTAAAAAAACTAAGAACAATGAATATATGACAACCTGCAGTGTATTCAGAAGTCCTTCGTCAGTTAGAGAAGTGAATATGTTCTTGCCGTCAGTGTAACATGTCCCTCTTTGTTCTGTAGAGTTGCCATAGTGAGGATAAGTGGAGCCCAATCTGCCGAGGCTGCAGTGAGAGAGCTGAATGGCAGCAGCATGCACGGCCATGCTCTACATGTGGGGCACATCAACAGAGCCAGGGATGAGACCCAGAACCAGGACCAGGCCTCGGGCACCGTGAGGGGGCCGGAGTCCGCCCCAACACAAACCTCCAAGTCTGACTCCAGCAGCGCAGACAGAAAGGTGAACACTTCAATGATGTTCACTTTATGTAGACAAACTGATGATTGTAAGAAACGATGAAGTGAAAATGATCATTTGTAATCTTTTAATAGTCTACTGTACATGCTGTGCAAATGATGAACATTATTGATGCTTATTTCTTCATTTGGAACTGACCAACAGAAACAGCTGCTTTAAATGTAATGTGTGTCTCCCTGTGTATCGTGTACCCAGAGCTAAAACAATAATCATTAATACAACAATAATAATAAAGAATGAATCAATCTTTCATTAATGTTTCAAACAAAAAGGCCAAACGCTGTTTTCTGCTTCTCAATTGTAAAGATGTTTTGCTTCCATTGTTTGTTATTATATAACAATGTCATGATATTAAAAGTAACATATTTAAAGCTTCAGAGTTAGTCAGACAAAACTAAGTAGTCACCTTGGACTCTGGAACATTTTATAGACACAACCATGATGAATACAAACATTAACACTTTTAATTGAGCACCAGGAAAAGCACTTTATAAATGTAAGATATTATTATTATTATTATTAATCGCTGCCTTACAAATAAAATATGTTTGTGCTTTTATATCATTTATTATTTTACAGGATCCTGAAAGTTTAAACAGCTGTATATGTCTTTGTCATGCTTTGATCCCTCCCTCTCTGCAGCTGATCAGTCAGCCGCCGCTGAGCTCCAGCCTGAGGGCCAGGAGGGTGTTGTGCGTCTCGCCCACAGCGAAGGGAACCATGTTGCAGGAGAACTACTGCACCATGGGAGGCTTCAACGCCGTGATGATGGAGCTCACTCAGCGCCACCCGGGCGTCTCCAGGCAGAGGTTTGTGGAGGCTCTGCTGGAGCTGAAGGCCAAACACAAGGGCGTCCTCTGCGGCCTGCCGCTCCGCACCATCAGGGAGATGACCTCTGACCTCATCACCGGGCCAGAGAGCGCCACACAGCAATGAGGAAGCAGTCTTTACTGTTTTTTTGTTTAAAAAGCATCATCAAATCTTTGTTTGTTTGTTCTTTACAACTCGAGTAGTTCAGAGGGAGAAATTCACCTAAAGGAATTGGGTTTTCTTTAAAAGATTTGCTTGTCATTTCCAGTTGTTGTATTTTCAAAAGATGCTTCATAGAAAGTTCTAGTTATTTATTTGGCATACAGTTACTTGCATACCGTTTTATGCATCAGCTTTGTTTGTATTTGATGTCCTCTTGCTTTGTTGTATTTGATGTCCTCTTGCTTTGTTGTATTTGATGTCCTCTTGCTTTGTTGTATTTGATGTCCTCTTGCTTTGTTGTATTTGATGTCCTCTTGCTTTGTTTGTATTTGATGTCCTCTTGTTTTGTTGTATTTGATGTCCTCTTGCTTTGTTGTATTTGATGAGT